TGTGTGTGTGTGTGTGTGTGTGTGTGTGTGTGTGTGTGTGTGTGTCGCTGCTCTTATGCACCGCCTCCAGTGTTCTTTTTTCCTATTTGTGTGTGTCTGGCTTGTTTCCAAAAGTCCCCATGCGTTGTCATTAATGGGTTTTGTTCATGGAGCCCTGCCTGTTGTTGAATTGTTTTTTTTGGATTGTGTGCCCTGTTTGTGAAAAGGTTTACCAAGTAACTCGGGCTTTGGAATGCGACATAGCCCCCCCATCTTCCCCTCTACATGCAGAGTCTGTAGAGAAGCATCTAAGTTTGCTTTCAGTTCAGGCGGTTCTCCCCTTTTTAATAAAATTTTTCTTTCTTACTCCGAATGCAAAACATTTTGACAGCCTCTAACTGTTGAAATGAAACTTGTGCACTCACAAGGTTTGAATGGGGAAAAAAAACATCCTTGAAATCTCAAAGAGGCTTAGGATTTATTTGTTTAAATGTTGTTTTTATCTTTGTTTAAAAGTACATTTTGATGTAATAATCTTTGGTTTGGTTCAGAATAATAAAGTACTTGTTCAATACATCAACTAGAAACTAACCATGCCTGCGTTTGTTTCTGTTATCAAATGATCCCATGAATCACTTAACGGATTATTTTTTATTTAAAAATGTGTTCATTTTATTGAAAAGTTAATTATATATTTAACAGAAGAAAGAATACAAATCACAAATAAAATGAAAGGTATAGCAGAAAGAAGAAAAATATCTTATATCTGCCCTTTTTTTCCCACAAATACATTCAAACAAAATTAAATTACAAAAAAACAAAACAAAAGCAACATCGAATACAGCAATTCATATAGATACTCATTATGCTATTTCACATTTGTTTAATAAACCAACTGTTATCATTCTCTTAAACATAAAGATTGATCTGGCATTTTTAACATCACTCTCCAGATTATTCCATAATCTTATTCCTTGGATTGAAGTACACCACTCCTTCAAACTAGTTCTTAATTTAGGTTTCACAAACATCTCTATCCCCTTAAGATTGTAACAACTCTCTCTTAACAAAATTTACTTGGATGTTAAAAGATATGTTTTTGTGAGCCTTAAACATAACCAGTAAAATAATATTAGTCAACCAAATCATAGAATTTCAGTAACTTCATTTGATAAAATAAATTATTTGATGGAGGACTGTAATGTTTTCTAGTGATCATTTTTACAACTCTTTTCTGTAACACAAAAATAAGATTTGTAATTGTTTTGCATGCTTTAACGATTTAAATGAAACTTACTAAAACTAATCTGTGGATGCATATTGACTGGAGTCAACCCAGTTTTACCCAAGCCAACCTAAAAGTTGCAACATATTACAATTCAATTCAAAAATACTTAATTGATCCCAGAGGGAAATTAGGTACACACATTAATTGACATGTCGTCGCAAAAAGCAGAAACACGTTGGAATAATGCCAGAAAAGTCTGCGTGTATGATAATCAAATATGATTTAATTATGAGCGACAAACAAACAGAACTGAATCAGRAAGTTCTGCATGATTGTAACTGACTCGTCAGCAGAAAACAGCCAGGAATATAACATTATGTTAACACCATGTGACAGTTTACAACCAATCACAGATTGCCAAATATACTGTCCAGCCTATGACAGGGCTCCTAGCTCAAAGAGTCTGTTATCAAACAAGAGAGTTCAGTCCGTTGCGGAGTCCTGACGTCCGGAAACAAACAGACTACGAGCCGAAATGAGCTATCAGAAAGATACGAGTGATGGACAGTGTCAAGGTGAAACAGATATAAATAATTAGACCATGACACACACATTAATTGAGATTATGAACGATAATTAACTGGACTGCCAAACATACTTTTCTGAATAGATTTGTGCTGCCTTGATGGTATTTATTTTACAACTACTCATAAACTAAATGACTATTTGACCTCTATCAAATACCATGTTAGACAGTAAGTTTAATTTAAAAAAGCCAAGTAGAAAAACAAAGATGCAGCTGATACAACCAGCTTACTTTTTGTGTGTTTTTTTTAAGTTCCAGTGCTCTTCTAAGGGTTGGCAAATATATGTTTAATTAAGCTGAAAAAATTTTATATTTTGTAAAATAACAAATGTACTGTAATCAGCTAAATAAATACGTGTTGTATTTTGGTCATCAAAGACCTCAATTTCTACATTTCTGCATCAACCATATAAAGGCTCATCCATTAATCCTTGCATGAAAGAGCAAACAAACTCAAACATGAGCCTTGCTGTCTGATTAAAACTCAGCTTTTTGTTTTTTCTGTTGTAAAAGCCAACGCAGCTCAGATAAATGTGAAAACTTGGAGAAACGGATGAGGATCAATCGTGCACACAAGCTGATGGAGAGGCTTCTTATTGCTGAATCACAGCTGTGCAAAACATTAAGTCAAACATCTAACTTTCTTATAATTTGTGGGATTTAGTAGCTAATTGTAGCTCGGTCAGTGCTGCGGTCTTGTAATCCATCAACAATAGCTTGTTTTTTACACACTGGCAGGTTGTCTTTCCAGGCTCTGTTTCTCTTCACTTGGTTTATCCCGAATTTCATTTCATTTCATACTGCTTCCTTCATGGTAGCCCCCCCCCCCACCCCACCCATCTTCCCGTCTCTCACGAGGCCCCTCGGCGTAGCCTCCGTCCTCCCGTGCCCCCGCTGTGAGGTCGTCTCTCTTAAAAGAGCTGAAGTCATCCTTCCTCATCAGGACATAAACAAAGCAGCCTCCTCCTTCACTATCTTGTCTGCCTCCCTCCCCTCACGCTTCGGCTCCAACCCTCCCTCTGTTTTTCTCCAGCAGAGCTGTGGGTGTGGCGGCAGCGCCTGGGGAAGCTGTGCAGACATGGCTGCTGAAAGCGATGCTGCACGTTTGTGTTGTCTGAAATTCAGTTTGAAAAGAGTTGTTGCAATCGTTGCTCAGGATGTAGGATTCTCTCTCTTTCTATGAAACAGAGTGGCATTTTGAAGCATCCTGGTAAAGCATTAAATTCAGTGTTGTATTGATTTCATTTTTGTATTTTGGGAACATTTTATTTGGGGTTTAGCGTGTTTAACATCCCGCTCCATCTTTGGGAGAAGACGGGGATGTGATAGCTGTCGGTGTTTGTGTGTTGAGAGAAGTGTGTGAGTGTCAGACTGATTTTTGAACCCTGGACTGAGTGATCAGTGTTTCTCATTGTTTGTCTCTTTTTGTTGTTTTTCTTTTTCTTGCATTGTTCTTCCTCAGTCCACCCAGTAGCGATGGCAAATCCAGCTCCAGCACTTTACCGCCAATCAAATCAAAGACAAACTTCATCGAAGCCGACAAGTACTTCTTGCCTTTTGAGCTGGCTTGTCAGTCCAAATGTCCCCGCATCGTCATCACCTCCCTCGACTGTTTACAGGTCAGTGGCAGGACGGTTTAAATGGCAAACCTCCAAATGTTTGAGTGTTTTTAGCTCGTAAAAGCACATTTAACCTATTGAGGAGTAAAATAGGAAAAAGCTGAGGTGTGATATGAAATYCCCAGAGAACTTGCTGGCAGTTCATGCTCTCTGGCTTTACAAGTTGTGTTTGTGTTTGCTCATCTGCATTCGTAGAAGCTGATAGCATATGGCCACCTGACGGGCAGCGCCCCGGACAGCACGGCCCCGGGCAAGAAGCTCATCGACAGGATCATCGAGACCATCTGTGCTTGTTTTCAAGGACCTCAGACTGATGAGGGCGTGCAGCTACAGATTATTAAGGTAATTCTGCAACAGCGTAGCCGCTTTGATTGTTACTTTCAAGCTTCATTAAACACCTGTAACAGCATTTCTGTGTTTCGGCTCTTCAAACACAGCAAACATGTTTAGGTTGGGTGAAAAACCGAACCTGTTCATAGAAAACATGGTAAAAATTTGACTAAATTTGGTCTAAAAGTGAAACACTTTGTAGACCTTGTTGTAGACGATGAATCTAAATTTGGCACAAAAAGTAAATAAATTTGTGTTTGGTAGAKTATTTCTTTGTTGTAACAATGCTTRTTGGGAATAAATCTTACACTATTTGAAAGACTGTTTATTTCTCTTTTAAATGGTGCCACATTTGTAAGGAACATGCCCTTGTGGGATGAGAAGTAGAGCTGAGTATGTGGGTTGTGCACATGAAAAATTTGCCAAATCTCTGCCAAACAGCTTATTTTGCTATTGATTCTTGTTTTGATCTTCTGTTCCTTCATGTGCTGGTATAAGGTTTATTCCAGAGAAGTGTTGTTGCATCAAAGAAATAATCTACTTAACACAAATGTCCTTACTTTTTGTGGTAATAATACACAACAAATACTCCAAATACACAACAAAATGTAATATAAAATATATTTGTATTTGGAGTGCAGAAAATTTGAATTTAGTCTGTCCCGGTGTTGCGTAGATGTCTTTATACTCTGTTTGGGTCATGTTTTTCAACCCATTTAATTACGTTTTCTAAACTATTGCATCACAGTATTTGTGACAGAAATTCTTAATAAGGTCTGGATTTACCAACTACAATATGGCTGTCTTCATTCTCCTCTGGCTCTGGGTCAGACGGCTCCAACATGTAAGTCTGGATGGACAAGACTTTCTTAGTTGACATCTTTTAATTAATTTGCAAAACMAAAATGTTTCTGCGCTGCTATATAGTCATAAAACCCTCTATCAAACTAGAATGAATCAGTCTGGAAGCTGGAGGAGGGGCGGGGCTTGAAGCGCCTTGTTTGGATTTAAAGAGACAGCCTCAAAACGAGTTGATAGACACACTTTAGAAAAGGGGTGGGAAAAGGGGGCTTGTGGAGTTACAATAAGAAGGAATTCAGACCAAAGTATTGCATTTCCACTTTATATAGACACCATCTGTATGATTTAAAAGCACATGTCTCCTTTAAGACAGATAGGGTGGTATTTAAGACTGCATATATGCAAACAGTGTGATACAGGGTGGTTGTGGAGGAAAACAAGGCACAATATCACACAGGCCATGTTGCAATAAGGAGTCATTAATTAAATGGGAAATAATTTCATTTTTATCCTGTGATGTTCGAAAGTAAATCAGCTCATGTTGTTTCTATAAACGGTGTTTTGGACTCATTTGCATAATTTCACTGTTGAAGAGCTGCAGAAATGTTCCCAAAACAGCAAAGATTTGTTTTTCTTTTAATTTATAGCTTGAAAAAAAAAAAAAAAGAGTCTGCTCGGTGGAGTTGTCCCCCCCTCACACCTCCTGCCTCCTCCCTCCAGGCCCTGCTGACGGCCGTGACCTCTCAGCACATAGAGATCCATGAAGGCACCGTGCTGCAGGCCGTGCGCACCTGCTACAACATCTACCTGGCCAGCAAGAACCTCATCAACCAGACGACAGCGAAGGCCACGCTCACGCAAATGCTCAACGTCATCTTCGCTCGCATGGAGAACCAGGCGGTACGTTCAACCGCACGGAAACACAGCAACACACACACACACACACACACACGGCTTTTTATACACACACACAAAGAAGCTTCAGCCGAAGCTATTTTACTTCCAAAATGCAATTTAAGCAACATAACTATTTGGCTTTTAAAATTTGCTCATTCAAACTACGTGTTCCTCGTTGAACCGGACTTGCTACAGTCAGAGGGACATTTTAGGTGTTGCCTTCAAAGACAGCTTGCTCTAATGTCATCTTTTTCTTTTTGAATGACACTTCTCCCTCCTTCCTCCTCACCTGCCTCCCTTCCCTCCCTTCCTTTCCCTTTTTTTTTGGACACATAGCTTACAAATCACAAGCTATCTTGGTCTCTGGCCTCCAGAAAGCGTGACCGCCAGGTAAAGCGTGCAGGACTTGCCGTGATATTGCCTGATCAGACCTTTTCAACTCTTTTTTTCCTGTGTGTTTGTGTTTGCGCCTTTTTTCTCTCTCCTTTTTTTCTTTCTTTTTAATAAAATTGGTTTTGCCCCTCATCCATTCGTGCACTCATCCTTTTCTCTGCTGCGCTGCAACACGAATGCTGTCTTTCCACCGTCTGCTTGCTGTGGCTTCTTTTCTCATCTTGCTTCTCCACAACTTCCTAGATGATAAATGCACCTGGCCGTGGTGAATCTTAGTTCACACTGCAGGCAAATGCAACCAAAAAAGGATTTTTTTTTGTCCCGATACGACCCATATCTGACTTTTTTCATGATAGTCTGATTGTGACAAATCCAATTAAAAATAAAATAAAATCTGACCCAGGTGTTTTCAGTATGTGGTACTAAATCAGGTACATATCTGATATTTTTCAAAGCGAGCGCAGTCTGAACACTCATGTCCCATTACATCCAAGCACTCACATCAGTCCAAGTATTTAGAATGTCGACACCAACCTGGTGCCGTTTAAATCTTATAACTCCACACATCTTCAGCTACAGAACAGAAGTCTTGTTGCTTTGTTTTTCTTTGGTTTGTCTCTATGTGTGGGCCTGTGATGGACTTGCGACCTGTCCATGGTGTAGCCCGCCCCTCGCACAGCGACTGCTAGATGTGTGCACCAGTGACCCCCGTGACCCTCAAAGGAAGAAGTGGGGATAATGGATGGATGTTCTGGTTGACTGAGAATTCACAGAAACATATATAACCTTAGTCTTGGATCGTATTGTGAGTTATTTTAGTTTTAGCAAGTCGCTCCCGTTACAAAAATAAAAGATATTCAGATATTCAAATCTTTATTCGTTTCATTAAAACAAAACAAATCATTTTATATACAATAAAAAGAAAACTATAAAAAGAAAAATGAGTGGAAAAATTAGAGGAAAAAAATATATGTATGTATATCAAAATCACAAATAAAATAAAATGAAAGGCAGCAGAGAGAATAAATAAAACGCGACAAATGGAGCAGCCGACCTGAGGATGGTTTCAGATTTTTTTTTTTCGTTTTTTCGTTTTTTTTTTTTTTTTTCCGTTTAGTTACCCAGGCAAATCCCATTGAGATCACATATCTGTTTTGCAAGGGAGGCCTGGGCCTGATGAGATAAGATGAGGTTGATTTATATGGCACTTTTCAGCAACAAGGCAATACAAAGTGCTTGTTACTTAGTACTTATTAAGGTAACCTATTGTACATATTTTTGGGGTGTAGGGGAAACCGGAGTGCTCGGAGAAATCACACGCAAGCACGAGGAGAACATGCAAACTCTGCACAGAAAAGACCCTAGGCCCGAACCGGGGATCGAGCCCAGGACTTTTTGCTTTAGAACTTTAGAATYGACATGCTAACTTGTAGCATCTATGACTTCTGTAAACAACGAGCTGAATGTGAAGTCATGTCATTTTCTGCACATGCAGGTCGCTTCAGTGACGTGAAGGGTTCACACTGGAGTCTGATGGAGCTTAAATTTAAAATACACTGAACGCCCACGCATAAATATCAGATATTTTGCAAAAAATAAGTGTTGCGCATTAAGACCTGCTGTGTGAACCTAGCCCTGGCTAGGGCTGTGTATTGGCAAGAATTTGGCGATACGATACATATCATGACAGAGGGGTCAAGATACGATATATCCCGATATATTTCGATACTGTAAACAAGGCGATATATTGTGATATTTTTGGTCCAAAAATTCTATTAAATAAAAACCTCTTACTGGGAAAAAAAACTAAAAACCAAAATTCATTCTCAGAAAATTCTAACATTACATAGACATGCTTTTGATACATTTAGCAGTGTTCTGCTTTGTATGTGTTTGATTTTATTTGTTTCATATTTCATCCATGTTTTCAATTATTAGACTAAATTTGCCAATAAATAGTTTGAAAATATATATTTTTGCAGCTTTTCGTTTTTAATATTAATTTACAATGTGGTCACCCAACACTTAACAATAG